GTGTTATTTCTTAAAGCTTATGCCGTATCGATAAGCTGAACTATTTTTGCTGAACAAATATGTACTGGTTTAGAGTTCTGTTTTGCTTTTTTTTTACTTTTTTTCCACTTCTCCAGTAACAGTTATCGTAATTTGATATGTTCTGGCTGCAGGTTCCCAGATAATCGTACAACAATTATTCTTTCCCAAACAATATCAGAAAATGAATAAATAAGCAAAAAATAAAAAAAGCAAATGGGAATTATTGTATGACTAATCCATTTTTTGTTCATGATTATTATTTCCACTGTAAGATTTTATTAGAAGATAATAGTAATTGGGAAAAGTATTGGCTTCAAGTTGTTGAGTTTTACACGAAATTTAAAGTTTATTGCCATACAAATAATTGGTCTTTTTTTTTTTCTTGTTTTGAAGTTTTGTGCGTCTTTTTTTTTTTCGCTCTTTTTTTTGTGTTTGCCCGGTGAATTGTTTTTGTTTGGTCCATGATCGACTTACAGTTGTTGTTGTTGTATTCGGTAGTTTACTTGACGTATGAATTTTTGCCACTTGATCGACATTTAAAATATGATTGATTTTCTGTTTTCAAATTGACATTTTTTTTACCGATTTCACCATTACATATCTATTACTGCTAATTACAACAGTGTAATCTGTAGCATTCATAGGATAGTGTTTTAGGCGTTTTTTTTTTTTACAAAAACAAAAATAGTATTTGATTCAAACGCGAATATGGTCTGTGTACATTATAGTATCAGCACATCTTTCTCACTTGTATAGCAGAAGTGTAAGCCTTCCAATAGATCAGAATGCTTTTTGTATTTATGGCGTTCGTATGTCAGGTATTGGTTGTACATACACACTTTAAAAATCAAACAGTTATCGACACTTGAACATTTAAAAGTGTTGAAGGTTTAGAAATTTGACGTCATTAATTTTGCATGTTCTTCTGCTTTTTATCTTTTTTTAGCTGTCGCTTAGTTGATCTGCACAGTTTTTAATTTTTTAGACGTCAAAGCTATATTTACAGTAAGTAGATGCAGATTTTCCAACGGACAATGTCCGACGAAACAGAGCAGTACCCCATCACTTCGGTTATCATTGTATCTGACAAGAATAAATGTCCTCGAGGCTTTCAACCGGTTAGTTTCTTTTGCTGTATAGCTGTCATTATTAAGAGAGATGTATTTTTTTCCATTTGTTTATTGATATCGAAAGCAGACTGTCTGAAACTCCATTTTCAAGAGAGCCTGCTATTTTAATACAAAATTATATGTTTACTTGTCATTTTTTCTTCTTGTGCTTTTACTTTGCATTAATAAAAAATAGATAACTCGAGCTTATGACGATCAGAGCGATGCGGACTTGTGGAAAGAAGGTGGTTTTGCCTCGTTTTGGTCACGTCCAGTTCGTTACCTTGCTGTAAGCCGAGAATCGCCGGCTAATTCAGTAACTTCTTTTTATCTTGATTATTTTGCTTTCTTGTTCTTCTTTATTAGTTTGCGTCTTTTTGAGTTGACTTGTTGGTTCTAATATATATACTGATCTTTTCTGTTGTTTCTAATGATTTGTGTCATATTTCACTAATATATTTACAAAATTAGGAAGAATACTTTCTAAAGTCAAGAAAAAGTTTTCAAAATTGCAGTAGTAATAGGTCCTAACCTCATTGTTTTTTTAATAACAAATGTTTATGAGGATTTTCATTAGTTAGTTCAGGTTGGTGTTCATGTTGTGATGGATATTTGTATTATAAAAGAGAATGATCCAGTACCAAGTGGTTTTACTGCCGTTGACTATACTGCCGATTCTAGTAAGGGTTAATTTACTGTAATTTCTGCTCTTTAAATTTTTTATTACTTTATATTAATGACAAGCTTCTGACACTTCAGAGGAAAAGTCTTTGCGGAAGAAATGTTTATGCATACGCACACTTCCGCGAGAAAATGCTACTGATGCTGTTGGTGAAATTATAATTTTGAATAAAACGAAGAAGCCTCCAGTTAACTATTCTTGTGCAGGGTATGCAATGTTAATTGCTTTTTATCTTTGGATTTATTTAGAGTGGTTTTGATTTGCTTTTAAAGTTTGCAAAACTTTTAAAATTTCTTATCGATTGTCTTCTGTTTACAGTGATTGTCTGTACTACTTTTTTTCCAGCGAAGTTGATGGAGCTTACATTTGTTTCCGACATGTAGTAATTCCAGCGACGTTTGGCCTCGCCATTCCCGACCGTAAATCGTAGGCATTTTTGAGCATTTAATAAGTTGCCTGTTTTTTGACTTTTTTTATTTTTCAATCTGAATACGCTTTCAAGTAAAAAGGCGGGTGGAAATATCAGTTTTGTCAGTTGGCATCTTTAGAATTTCCTATTCATCTTATATTCATTTTACGAGTTGGTGGGTGCGATACTTTGCGCATTATTTTTCCAAGTTTTTCCGGGTACTGGGTTTTCATCTTGCTTTTTGTTCAAGTTTAGGTTTTGTTTTTGCAGAGGCGGTTTATACCCATCTATTAACCCTTCAGCACATAACCTGTCTGATCCGCAACTCAGTTTGTCAGCAAGAAGTGAAGCTCCAGTCAACGCTTTGACTATTCGAGCTGGTGATATTCGAAAGAACATTAAGGATATACCCTTTAAACTGCATCCATTAATTGAAAGTAATTGCGCCGGTAACAGAGTAGGTTTTTTCACTTTTTTACTTCTTTCTGGAAGTGTTACGACCTTGATGTTCACCTTTAATTTTCAGGAAAACTTTTTACCTGAAATCAAGTCATACACACGTGACATGCTGGACAACTTGTACCGCTACGAATTTACTATAGAAAGAGATGCTGTAAGGAACTAGTGAGCGTATTTGAGCTGTTTATGTGGTTTTTTTATTTACAGTGACTTTTTAAACCCAGCTAGTTTTGCTATGGCTAAGCTTACTTTTCATACGTCTTTGAGAGGAGAACTATCTGTGAAGGTAAAGTATAGTTATTTTTTTCTTTTTTCAAACTCGTTTCGTTAAACTTTAAAACAATGCGTTGATTTGTTAGCATTGTGGTGTTGCTTGTCGTCTGTGAATAACCGTTTTCGTCTTTTTTTTTTTTTCTTTGCTGCAGTCCAATTTGTCTATCATATTTTGGCGCAAGGGTCCTGCAGTTTTTGTTCGTTATTTGACTGATGATGGTTAGGATGAAATTACTATTTTCGTCCAACTTAATTCAGCAACTTTTACGTGATCTTAGCCACATTCTAATGCTTTTATATCGTACACTGTATTTTTTAATTGTTTTGGATTAAGCTTTTAGAGCTATTTCACGCAGTTGGCATTCTTTTGAAAAATTAGGATTTAGTGACAGTTTAAAACAGTGGCGACAATTCTGAAATTTAAATTTTTTTTGCTTTTATTCGTTACTTCTAGTAAATTTCTTAACATTTTGCTTGAAAAATAGGTCTTGTGGTGGAAATACATGAGCTGGTTTATGGAATTTGTTTTGCTGGGGAAGAGATTTTTAATTTTGCGTATTTTTCAAGGATTTGCTGTAATTTACTACTTATCTGTTATTACCTTTAGTCTTCTGCGCTTGTGATATACAGCAATCTTTGGTCTATTCTCGTCACAGTTCTCAAGGCTCCCACAAATTTTCGAGGATGCAGTTTTATTGAGTAATATAATAAAAGTAGCTTTTTGCGGTTTGTTGCCGGAAAATTGTTGGAATTGAAAAAGTACATGAGCCAAAACTCTTGAAAATCTTGGGGAAGGATGTGGAGAACCTTTAGATTTACTGGCAAAATATTCATCATAACTTTTTTTTGGCTTCTTCTTCTGGAAAGTGGACATATGTGGGTTGTGACCTGTGCTGACTTCTTCTGATCTGTGATATTTGTGTATGTAGTTTAGGTTGATTGAAAAGGTGAAAAAGTTTGAAGTAGTTCTTTTAGCCTTTGCTTCTGCCACTGTTTCGAAGGTATTTCTAGTGGACGACCAGTATTTTCTTGAATCCTTGAGTGATTGTATCAGGTATTTTTGATTGGGAGCGTTAGTGCTACACGGGTTTTCTCAGAGAAGTTAGATACTGGCTATTCTCTTTGTATTTGTCAGCGTCCCTTGTGAGCTGTATTTGGTTATCCAATGATTCAGCGATTGTTGTGCAGTGTACTGCAGTTAAAGTGTTCAGGATGTTCGACTTGGCCCGTTCAGTGACTGCTCAAATGGGTCATAGTCATCTTTCTGTTTTTGGTGCACTGTTTTAGAAGAAAGTGAAACCAAAAAGCGTATATTTGGCAAAAGGTCGAGCGCTTCTTCAAGTTTTTATTTTATATTATTTTATTTATTGAGCTATTAGTATGATTTGTAGTGGAGTCGTTAATAATTTAATCAAAAATGATCTTGGCTTACTGGTCATCAATGAAGCAAATATCTTCTTTTGATGACGAGTTATTTTGAGTATTGTGACAGCAAAAGGTTGTTGGTGAATATTTTTTCCCGTCTGTCGTTTGATGCTTATGTTGATTAGTTTCTGTATATATCATGAGTGTCGATGTAATAAAGAAGTTCCGCACAGGTTTTTTTGAACTATTGGTCTATTTACTTTTAATACAATTCTGTATGCTTATTGTGATAGTTTAGTAGTTGGGTGGTGAAAACTGAAGGTTGGAGAAACAGTATAAAAAACAGAAAAATGATTATTGAAGAGTTCACTTGACAAAGATGATAGTTTGAAATACTTGAAAGAGAATTTGTGGAAGAGAAGAAGGTTAGTAGCAGAAAGCTGTTTGAACAGTTGATTAGCTAAGTGGAAATACGTGAAAAATATGATGACCAGTTCAGAAATTTTGGGTTGCGCCCTGTGTTAAAGGCTGAAAAAAAAGTTCAGATAAGATGTAAGTTTTTTTTCCTACAATTTTTTTTCTTTCAAAAAGGAGCAGTGAATGCAATAAAGTCACAGCAATATTTGTTATTTCAATGGACTTTTAAATGTCAAAGCGTTAAGCAAACAGTCGTCAAATAGCGGATGCCGTCAGGTCGTATGGCAAAGTTTCTTTTTCTTCATGTTTTGTTTGCTTTTAAGTTTATACAGCTCGGTCCGCGAACAAAAAGGTTTTTTTCTTATTGTTTCTGCTCTTCTTTTTCTTCGTAAATTTTTTATTTTCTTGTTACTTTTGTATTAAACAAAAGAGATGATCAAAGACTGTTATAAATTATATTTAGAGGAATACTTTACCTTTAACCTTTTCTAATTATTTATACCAAATTAAAACTTACCTCTTATGCTATGAGTGGTAATAGTATAGATAAAAAGCGAAGGAAAATAATCTCTAGCTAATTGAATTTTCACAGTAAAATTTAGCTGAATATTTGTAAATAGTTGTGATTGGTTGGGTATCTTGTAATATTATTCTTAAACAGAGCTACATCACGTGTTACTCGCGGTAATTTGGAGAGGCTATTTAAAGTTCTGTTTGTCCGCACAGAAAGCGCATTAATTGTCAGATAATTTTTACAGAGCATAACTGCAAAATGTACGTCGTGCTTATCTATGTAAGTAATTAAGGCTGTCAAAGTTATAGCTTTAAAAATTTATAAATACCAGAAAGAAAAAAGAATTATTGGAAAAATTAGGGATTCAGGAGGACAAAAATGCAAAGAAATAAAGCAATATAATACGTGATTGACGAGAGGCTGTTAATTTTTTTAAAAACCTATATGTTAAAACTATTTTAACAGTACTTTTTCAACTGTTGAAAAGCGAAAAAAAACTGAAGATCAACCGGGTATTTCTGGATTTTTAGAAGAATTAAGCTACTGATTTGTTGTAGCTTAATACGGTTTCTGATTGATCTATGGTATCCATAGAAACTCGGATGTATTATTAATTGTTTCGTTGTTTCTATGTTTTCAAATCAACGGCTTATATGTTACTAACGGAATTTTATGCTCCAACACTAAATTAGCTTTATTGTCAAGGCAAACGTCAGCACTTAATTGTTATCTGTCCTTTGTCATTGCTTAGTCAAGAGCACTCAAGCTATCTATTTCTATAAGGTTGCTTTTTACAGCATAAATGAATACTGTAGTGGTTAGCTCTTAGCGGAAGAAAAAAATTATTCTCATAATACAGCCAACTATGTTTCTACTTTAATTTTTTTTTTTTTT